TGCAACTACAATGTCCTTGCTGAGACTGCACAACATTTTAAACAAAGTAGTTATGAAAATTTATTTAACACCTAGTATATAAGCATATGCAGTTGAACTTATTTTTGATGCCCATAACCTTGTAGATTAGAGATTAGCCTTATTTTTTCGAAAGCAAAACAAATGTCGAAGGTGAATAGTTAAGTTTATCCCAAGTTTCCTCAACTCCAAAGCAAGTGCCTTCTAGGAAGATATGGTGTATACTTTCCCAAAATGTATAAAATTTTATCTTCAATGCTCTTCTAAGTTTTTTTGTAGCACTTCTCATCTTTTTTATGCCTTGCACACCTGCTGATCTCATGCTAACCTCAAACACCCTGAATCCCTTGTAAATTCACACACTGTACTTTGTCTCTACCATTTTTATCTATCACTTACAGGCTATAATATAGACAAAGTGTGAGTATTATTGACAAATAATGGGTGGCTATTTTCATTTTCATGGTCTTAGAATTAAAATTCATTAAACAAAAATTTATCATAATTGGCTTGAGAAATGATTTAGTCCCAACACTGACGAAGAATTCCATCAGTCAAGTCTGACTTGTAATTTCTACATGTTATCTTCAATGAATAGAAGCATTATTACACAGCCATTCCACTCTTAGTTGTTAACTGCCAAAAAGTCCTTTCTTATATTCCTCTGAATTCTCTGACTGTAATTTTTACCTCCTATGAGCTTTACACTATACAATAAACCCAATTCATTTTATTTCTAAATAAATATTTCTAAAACTTGTTTCTAAAACTCTCATCCTACACACTTCATTCTAATTAATCTACTGTAATTTTCAATAGACTTTTAAAAACAATCGTGGTTCACAATAATCTCATAGTAAATTTAGTAATCAATAATTAACATTTTTTCTCATAAAAATATTATAAATCCAAGTCTCTCCACTATTATCTTTATGAGCAGCCAATTATTTTTTAAGCCTCAGATCTTGAGTATTATATAGGATCACCTGAGTGAGAGTTAGAGGGTGACAATTGTGTCAAAACTTTATTCTGATATCCAAAAAGATCATCAGCTGCCATTCTCCAATATATACTGTCCATAAATAACAATGAACTTCATATATATTTTTTCTTGACATGGATTTTCTAATAATTAATTGATGGCATATTTGCTCAGCTTCTACATATTTTCTCCTAATTGTACCAATATTTAGTACTGCATTTTCTTGAACTTGCTTTAGGTTGGATTTTAATAAATACTTGATATTTTAAAGCAACTGTTTGGCAATCATAAATCAGACATCCTGCAGGGGAGGAGGAGGGAGAGGGATCAGAGGGAGGGAGGGAGGAGCACAGGGGACTGAGGTGATGGTGCAGGGGTGCATTGGGGAAGGAAATTCTATGGGGACTACACCTGGTGGGGGCGGGGAGCAAACATTGTTTTTAAAATGAACAATGATGTAAAAAATATATTTAAAAAATAATATAAATAAAGCAACTGTTTGATACAGATGTTTTGGTAAGGCATCATTTGTGCATTAATTTTTAAATTATGTCCTTCTCATCCTTCCTACATAATGTGATCATTTTGTATTGACCATATTGTGACAAAACAAAAAATTAAAATGTCAGTATTTCTAAATCACTAAGTTAGCAAAAATAAGAAACAGACATCCTCATGGTTCTCATCCTCATCACCTGGTCTCTCCTGAACACCCATCACTAGTGTGGAGTTCAGAAAGGGATAATGGTAATGAATTTCTCTCATTTGCATAATATTTAGTGAACAAAAAAAAGTTTTTTAATGTTTAATGTCAGCTGCTCTGACATTTTAGAGTATATGATGTCAAGTAACCAAGGCTCTAGTTTTGTAATATATCATAAGGAACAGGATTATTTGGCAATGGGTAGGGATGAGAGAAACGGATCTGAGCAGGAATTTTTCCCACTGTCCTTGACCTAAAGGGCATGCACCTCTTTCTTAAGATCAAGCTGCACTGAAGACCAGTAAGCCTTACTTTTATCAAATTGATGATGCAGGGCCTCCCTGGTGGTGCAAGGGGCTAAAACACAACCTATGAAGCTGTCCGCAGCCTCTGCACCACGAGTTCGATCCCTGAGTTGGAGCCCCTGGCTGGCCAGGAAGCAACCCACAAGGTGCAGCAGACCTATCCTGACTCACCTACTGCTCCCCTCAGCAGTGTACTCCAGTCAATCTGCCTGTTCTGTTCCCCACTCTTGTCTCTGATAAATCCTCTCACCCCCCCAAACCTCTGGCCTATACCCCAGCTCTGCATGCATAAATAAATCTTTAAAAAAATTGATGATGCATCAAGTAAATGATTCTATTTCTAGTATATAAAGTGCTTTATATCCCAAGCTTCTCTTATATTCTGAAGACTCTTTTATGTCAAGGATAAACATGTATCTAAGTTCACAGAAATTTCTAGGAAGGGAGGTCTAAAAATTGCCAGAATCCTTAAGTTTTAGCAGAAGTTACAGAAAAAAAAAAGGGCAACAGATCATTTGACTCACATTATCTTCAACGGTCCCCTCATTTCTAATTCATTTTCTAAGAACAGCTAGAAAAGAGCTTAAACCAGGAGACCTACATGCCGAACTTGAGGAATTCTACAAGCCAAAACTGGAATTGGGCAACACAGAAATTAATCCAGGGGCTATGAGAAGCCAGGGTGACTTCCAAACAAGACTCCTCACAAGTGAACAAAGCTTTCTCTTTGCTCACTTCATCACCATAGATCTAAAAGATATTTACCTATCAGGCAAATGGAATGGACTTCCCTAAATTAACAACATGGAAACAGATGTTATCCCTCTTTCTTCCTATTCCTAATAAGTAGTTAAGGAGATCAGGCCTCAAGCAACATCCGTGGACATAAACATCGAGATTACAAAAAACTCAATGATGTCAACATTGGCAAATAGTACTAACACGTTTCGATTTGCTGTTTTTGTACATATGGTAATAAATGTGTACATATGGCAAGGCCTTGTGTCTGGTACAAAAGTAGGTGCTTAATAAATAGATGTTGAATGAATTCCTGAACTAATACTTTATTTTTATCTTGATTTAATTCAGCCTGCTGAAATCTATTATTTGAGCTCCTATTATGTACCAGAAATTTGAGTAAATATTATGTACCAGAAATTATACAAAGCTACAGATTAGATATGAATACTTCTTCAGATCTTACACTTTAGTTGAAACTGGTGAAGTAATTTCTAGTCCTGATAATACACTCTATTATTTTAACCATAGGGGTGAACACTGCTCTATTTTCTCACACGCAATTTAATGGTTGGTCAAACTAACCTATTTACAATTCTATTTTAGTTCTAAAATTATTGTAAAAGGTATGAAATATATACTCATGCAAATTACATAATTTTTAAGAGTAGAAAATTATAAAAAATTAAATATTGCCCAAAATGAATGTTCTTCCCAGTTTAAAAGTAATTCAATCTCTCAAATGGATACAAAAATATAATTACTAAGCTCCAAAGAAATCTATTATGCATAATAATAGATCACTTGGTATATGTTAATAAAATATCAACTTCTGATCAGGCACTGTACCATAGTTCAGGCTTAAAATCTAATACTTTTTTATGAATAATGATTATTGATTATATCAAATTTTACAAGATCTGCTTTCTCACAATTACACTGTTAAAATTAATGCATAGCCTATTAAACATGTGTATATTAAATCAGCATCAGACACTATTCAGTCATTTAATATATTTCCTGGTAAATATACACTTTAGAAATATATTCTCATTTGACTTCATGGAAAAGCCTTCATGATGAAAGAACTGATAGGACTTGAGTGTATGATATACACATAAACATATATATGTATATACACACACATACACAGAGATAAATTAAGAAATCTTTTGTGAATCATACTACTTACATTGTCTAAACCATCTCTAATTCATCAACTCTCTTATGCCTCAGCTGGGTTTCCACTGATTCCTCACAGTAACAATAAAGTACTGTCCTTCAAAAAAATGATGACATTAAAACAACTTCATAAATTTGTTTTATAAGCAGTTTTCTAAGGGACTTTCCACTTACTGATATAAATAACTTTCAAATGCTCGAATAAAAAGTATTTTTAAACTTCCAGAAAAGCCTCTAATGACAATTTTTCCCCTTTGGAAATCTTATGTCTCTCTTCAATGTATTCAGCACCATCTATGTCGAGTTAATTGGTATTTATCTGAGCAGCTATTTAAGTTTCCTGGCGAAAACATATTTACCTTTGAGAACAGCTGCCAGGTTCTTGTCACAAACATATGGAAAGAGATATTTACCCAGATGAAGGGATAGCACACTTAAAGATTAAAATTCTTGTCCACAGCGGATGTTTGCTTTGCAATAAAAACTTCCAAGCAGCATGGTTCAAAATGACTATTTTAAAAAATTGTTAACTTACACTACTGAAGAAACCATTTTCTAATTCCTAAACTCTACCAGAACTGAGTTGCAATTAGTGATAGTAGCCAGGAGATGGCGTAGTCTCATTTCCCAAGTTTTACTTCATAGGTCTTTGTGAAATTCGAAACTTGAAAGAGAAATGTTTTATTAATGGAACTTGATATCACAAATGGCAGGTGAATGAAAATAAGATATTCACAAAAAAATTAAAAATACAATTTTCTTAAATGTTTTACATACTAGTAATTATTTTATATGCAAATAAAATATTTTAAAATACTTTGAATAACCTTTTCTCTTCTGTATACAAGGAATAGAAGGAAAGGGAAAGTTTTAAAATAATGATTATTTACAATAACTTCAATTTTTCAGTTCTTACTGTTGGTTCGTTTTCTAAAATGCTGGAGTGCAAGCACTAACATATTTCACCACTATACCCTCTACTTTTCAATAAAATAAAGACAGGTATAGTTTTAAAATATGAAATTTACAACTAATACTTTAAGGAGAAAATTCATTAGTTTAAAAATATTTCCAGAAATAGCTTTATTCGAGGCACATAAAATATTAAAATGTTTCTTTCATTTAATAAACGCTAAGAGTATTCAGATCGCAAACCCAATATATTGTTTGGAAAAATATAACATTTTTGAAGGCCTAATAAATCACTCACATATACTGTGAACCACATGAAAAGATGTGGGGGTGAGAGCATAGGGAGAGGGGATTGCATGCTTCTAATAATATTCCAGGAAGGGAGAGTGGGCAGATACATTACAGATTGTCCTGATTTGGTATGGAATATAGTCTGCCACCAATTAGTGAGTCTTTACTGGGAAGGTAGGAAGAATCCCTAATCATCCCTGAAAAGGCATAATCCAAAGCTGGCCGAAAAGGCAAAGCTGGTACCAACCCAGGAGTTAGGTAAGGAGATATGAAACCAGATAGCCCTCTTCCTGGAGAAGAATATGCTAGCCGTAACGGACTGATACCTAGTCTAGGATTTAAGCTGTACAGACTTGAATCACCTCCATAAGAAGTTGAAGTGGTTCGCAGAGGAGAAAAGGCTGATTTAGTCCCTAGAGTTCCAAAACCAATTCCAGCAAAACTAAAATTTGAAACTCTCTGAAAAGCTGTATTTTCCAGTTCTCCTGAGCTTGGTAGGTCCCTGGAGCCTGGTTTGTGCTCCCTGCCATTTAGAATCTGTTCAATGGCTTGGACCACATCCCCTTTGCAGAGCTGCAGAATGCCTTCTAGCCGGCTGCGCCTATAACTTGGGAAAATCTTGGTAAGAATATCAAGAGGGTCTCTTGGTCTTGAGGATGCCGTGGGAAGGCTGCCTCTGGTGGCTGTGAAGTCTTTGGCCCATTCACTCTCATTTCCTGACTCCAGATCAGAGGATGATAAGGACCTGGGACTCTCTTCACCTCCTGACTGCTCCCCAGGGTGAGAAGACAGAATGCTGTCCTCCTTGTTTGAGTTTTCTGAGATAGACGACCTGACATTTTGTTTTCCAATGATACCATTAGACTCAGAAGATGATCCCAGGGTGAGTTGATGTGATTTGGAGACTAATTCTTCTTGTATACTCTGGCATGAGTCACATTTACTCTCTTTTTGTTCTGGGGAAGAAAAAAAAAATCAAATAAAGGAAAAACTTCCCAGAACATAGTACTGCCCACTCAAAAATAATACTGGATAAAATCTTTCATTCACTCATGATATATTAGTAATACCTACTCATTATAAGAAAGTCTAATGAAAGAGAATTATAACAGTTAGAATCATGGGAAATGCTATTTATGGTATCATTTCAGGCTCACAGAGATATACAATATATAAATGCTACAGTTTCTTTGGATTCAGGAGGTTAAGAGCCTATTGTTACCCCCAACAGTTAAAGTGACACTAATATATCTTACACTATTGCCCCAACTGGTAAGTTGAAATTTGCCTAAATGTTACCCAAGTTTTGTTGTTATCCAAGTAGGTTTTTTTTTCCCCCCCACAGGGGCACTATGTAAGATGAACTAAATAAATAATTATGTTTACATTAAAAAAATCAAAAGAAGGAACAATGTGAGTATGAAAATGAATATTCTATTTTATCACTAGTGTTAAATCTCAACAATTGGTGTTTTAATGCTTATGTTTCAAGTTCTAGCTAAGTTACCTGAAGAATGTGAAAAATAAAACTTTCATTTCATTTCAAAATATAAAAAGTAATGACTCCTGTGCTAATCTCAAATCATATGAGAGCCCACGTATATTGTTTTACAAGAAAGACAAGTTGGTACTTTCCATAGCCCTCTGTGAAATATGGACTTTCTTTTTCAACCCTTATGAATTATTAACAAGAGTTGACAATCAAGTTGTTTATAAAAGTAAACTATAAATTGTTACACCACATTACTATAATCTGTATGAATCTTCAAAGTGTCATAAAAACAACATATTATGAATTTGCTCCAAATTTCCAGAAGAGAAACTCTCTTCCATTATTCAGAGTAAATTTTCCAAAAATATTTTCACACAAAAAATGGATTTTTCTACCTCAACATGTTGAATATATAATATTAATTAAAAAACCATTTAACATCTTCTGCTCTTACACAGGAAAATAACGCATACATGGGCTGAAGAACTGTTATTTTAGTGTATATTTCCTCTTACACTATAGATGTATTTTATCTCTTTCTATCAGAAAAAGTAAACTGTCAAGTAGGATACATAGAGTATTTCTGTCAAACTTTTTTCTACAAAGTTTATGAATGCAACAAAACAAATATGGCCTAAAACCATGATTTTCGGTTACTATTTGCCAATATTCCTGTTTTTCCAAGGAACAATCCTAAATTCTAAAGAAATATCTAGTGTTTAATTTAAAATTAAAGTGTATGCCATTTAGCACCTTGAGGATTACATATGATATATAACTTAAACATTATATCAAACATAACATAAAAGATGCTGCTTCTGAAAAAAATTACAAAAATTCTAATATTTTTCAACTTAAAATGATCAAGTTTTCTAATGAAGTCTGACAAATGAAGATAGAGTGACAATGGTCTGCTAAATATGTAAGGTTTCAAAATTTAATCTCTACAGCAATTTATATACAAACTATTTTTTGCTATTTCATTATATTTATGGAGTACAATATACTAAAATACCAATTGCATAAGACTACCTAGAAAAAAAGTGTCTATAAATACCATATCATTCATATATTTCTGTTCTCTCAATTCCTATAATTCTGTTTATTTCCTTACTTTTTTTGTTGTATATTATGTCTTGTAGTTTTTAGATACGTATTATTTTCCTCCTTTTAAATATAAAGTTCTTTTGTGTAGAAAAATCTCATTCACCTCTCAATCACTGTCTTTGTCTAATGAATAAGTTAAATAAACTACCTTAATACAATTCATAGACATTATGTAAGAGATGTAAGAGAAGGTAGCCAGCTTAGAAAAGCCATGGAAGTAACCTTTTAGATATTGGTGGTCATTTGTAGCAAATAATAAAATAATTGATCCTACAAAAAAAAGACTGCTTTGGTAACTCCTGTCCCTAAAAAGCTAAATCACATAAATCATTGTCTAGCGGAGTTGTCCCCTGATCTGTCAGTTTAGCCTATAGTAATTTTGCATAACTTGGCTTTCAGGCCTCCAATTTTTCAAGACAAAATGTTTAAAGTCAATTTTGTCTAAGGATTTAAATAAGAATATGTGCAAAAAGATGGCGTATATGCCACACTTAAATATATGATATATGCCACACTTAAATACACAAGATAGTCTTTCAAAAGTACAACCTATGATCTCTTAAGATCTGCAATCTTCACACATCAAGGAAGTTTTCTAATTAATAATCTACTATATCATTAGCATATAATTTCATAGGATACAACCTGTCTTTGTATTTCTGCAAAAATATTGCAATGACATTTTCACTGCAAGCGGGCCTAGTGGAGGACTATGAAATTCACAAAAATACAGTGTAATTTACATGACCAGGATAAGTTAACTTGAATTGACCTAATCAAAATACATAGATATAAATTTAATTATATGGATCTATTTTTTTTTAACCTACATGAAGGATGAAAGTGATCTGGAGTCAATATATAAGGAAAAAAAGTTAAATGTCCCTTAGATAAGATAATGTCCCTTAGATAAAAAATCCCCAATATTGAACTTTAAAATTCTTAACCCATGGTTTTACAAATGTGGAAGACCTAAGTTTCTTTCTTTCCCATGGCAAGAGCTGAAACTTCAAACATTAGAATGTCCCGCGCTTTTGGAGGCTATAAAAACAGTTGGGGAAAACTAGAATGCTTAATAAAATTTAAGGACAGGGGATAAAAAAAAAAAAAAAAAACGTTTGGTAGGTTTCTGCCTCTTCCTTCTAACTGGCGTAAAAGATTTGTCCCAAAAGTAAAAAAACTGCACTCCCAAGCATCGGTGAGTTTCCCGTTCTAGAGCAGATTAACTCTGGGTTTAAGGACAAAGAGGGTACTGAGTACGATTAAAACCCAGCACCTCACACTAAACTTTCCCCTGGATGTCCCCACTTGAAGTTCTACTTAGAGAAAGTCACAGCAACTCGCAGACTCACAACTCCATTCTCTGCAGAAGTTGCTCATTTGAATCCCTCATGCTTCACTTTTTAACTGCTTCATCCTATCACCTATGGGTTCTTTCCAAATGATGGCATGACAAATAACATCCTCATTAAAGTCCACATTGCAGGGCAGTTTCCCAGAACCTAAGTGCTTCTATACAAGTGCACTCCCTGCCTCCAGGGTGTGGCTGCTTGTTTCAAAGAGTTTACCTGCAGAACCACCATTTTCTTTTCTTTTCTTTTTTTAATTATATTTTTATACACCCCATACAATTGCAACCCCCTTATTTTGACCCCAATCCCTCCCCGCCCCCCCATAGTGTGTCTCTGGTTCATAGTTATTTGTTGATTTTGACTTTTTCTTTCTTATAGTTATTCTTTTTCCTGGTCCCTTATTTAGGTTTTCTAGATTCCTGCTATGAGTTAGACCAACCATTTTCTTTTGCAAACAACAAATGAAACATCAGCTCACCTTGTTTTTCTTCAGTATAATCAGGCTGGAAAACTTCGAAAGCAGGGGTCGCCAGACCACTCGACGGCCTCAAGGCACTGAGTCCCAGGGCGGTCACTGCAGCTGCGGGGCCGCTGGAAGCCTGAGGATTCTCGGTCCTGCTGCCTCTGGGCGCACGACCCCCGGGCGAGTACAGGAGCCTCTGCAGCCCCCGGGCCTCGCTCTCCTCCTGGGCCTGCTGCCTGCGCAGCGCCACCTGGGCAGCCATGACGCGCTGGCGCTCCGCGATCAGGGTGCACTTGGCACAGGCACAGTCCCGCCAGCGGCAGAAGCGCTTGTGGCCCTTGAGCGCAGACACCACACCGTGGTTCCGACAACGGGCGCACTTGGGTGTCCGCGGGTAGCCGCAGCCCACCACACCCACCCCTCTCTCCAGCCCGGGAGCGGGCGGGCAGCCCCCGCTTCCCGTGGTGACCGCGGCGGCTGCGCGCAGAAAGAGGCTGGGCGGCCGCAGGAAAGTTGGGGGAACCGGGATCCCCGAGGGGACGGGCACGGCGGGGGACCCGGGCGGAGGGGCCGTCACCACCAGCCCCGGGGCCAGGTGAGCTCGGCTGCTGGCACCAAGATCTGCGCTGTCACCCTGGGACTGCTCCATCCCGGAGAGTGCTGGCAAGGAGCGCCCCAGGCCAGTGCACTGCCCACAGCTGCACCCCGGGGCGTGGGGCTGGAGGACCCGCGGGTGTCCTGCTGCCTCCCACTCACACCCCGACAGTTTTACACAATTCCCGTCGCGAGTTGGGGACCACCGCTTCGAAGAGGTGGGGCGACGCGAGGAGGCGCAGATGCCCAGTGCGCCTCTTGGAGTCCCAGGGCTCCTTCTGAGCTGGAGAAAGCAAGTCTGGAGGAGCTACTCCGCCCAGCCTGTCTCCAGCTCAGGGATGAGGCCCAGGAGGGAGGGCCAGGGGCGGAGAGTAGGGTCTGTCTGGGAGGAGGGGGGGTGAGAGACACAAGAAATTGTCCTCATGGGTGATGAATGTCTCTGCCTTAATGAAGTCCTTCTGACTTGTTTCCCATTAATCCTTCAACGTATATGTTTATGAAACAATCTTCACGACTTTCCCCTTCTTTTCACTGATCTGAAACAAGATTTGAAGTTGTTTTTTTTTTTTTTCCCCTCCAGTTCCAGGGTTCTCCTTAGCAAGTTTGAAATTGTAACTGTGGGGTTTTCCTTTTTTTGTTTTTTTTTTTTTTAATTTCCTTTTCCCAGGTGATATCTCCAGGAGAGCAGCAAGATCAATGTTAGTGAGAAAGCACTGTTTTCACAGGCTCCAAATGTCACCCACCTGAAAGATGCTTAATTTTACATGGGTTATAGAGCACAATGAAACTAATAGATAAGTAATTGAGAACTAATTCACATTCAGATTCATCTGTTTATTTACACATGCAAATGTGGATTCTGTGACTCAAGGCAGACTATACATGAGTTGTGTTTTTTTAATGGAAATGAGAATAAGAGCTCTGTCATATCTTCAAAATAATATTCAACAACAGTCATAATAAGCAATTCATAGTCTGACCCTAATAAGGCAAGTAATAATGACATTTTTTCTATTTCACCTATTGACATCCAAGGCAGACATTGTTAATCAATCTGGACCTTCTCCTGCTCACCCACTTCACACTATCCCCACCATCACCATCCTTCCATATGCATATTCAGAGATGTTAGCATATGGTTCTACCAGTCGTTAGCATTGAAACTTTTTAAACAACATTGAAACTAATCATAAACAAAGGTGCAATGACAATGCAGTGGAGGATAGTTTTTTCCCAACAAATTTTGCTTGAATAACTGAACATTTGTATGCAAAAAGCACTAACTTTGAGCCATACCTCATTACAACTACAAAAATCGACTTAATATCACAGACCTAAAGTAATAAAACATAGAATACCTTTGCAACTTTGGGTTTTGCACAGATTTCTAAGATATAATATCAAAAATATGATCCACAAGAAAATTAAGTTGATAAACTGTACTTCATCAAAATTAAATACTTCCCTTCTTTAAAAGATGGTAAGAGAAATGAAAAGTTATAGCACCGAAGAGAAGAAAATAGTCATAATATGTGTATTTGATAAAGCACTTTCATACATAATAAACAATTTTCAAAATTCAATGAGAAAAAACAATCATTTCTTTCATAATGAGCAAAAGATTTGAACAAATGTCACCATCAAAATTACATGAAATTATAAACCTAAGATTCTGAACAGCATTAGTCACTAGGGAAATGCAAACAGACTACCACGTATTACCATTACACATCTATTAAGAGTGACTAAAATTTAAAAGATTGAATTTGTGAAGTAATGGCAAAAATGTGGAGCAGCTTGGACTCTCATTCACTGTTGACAGATATGTAAAGTAGTACAACCACTTTGGAAAATGGCTGCTCATAGGGTAGGTGTGTGTATGTTTATTTTTTTTAAGAAACTGTCAGCTTTTTTTAAGAAACAAAGTAAATGTGCATACAAAGACAAAATGCCATAGCAGTTTCACTATAGCAGCAAACTGGAGAAACCCAAATGTCTGTCAATAGTTGGTATAGCCATAAAATGGAAAACTGTTTAGCCACAAGTGAAAGTATATGGAAACATGCTACAACATAAATGAATTTAAAAATATCCTGAGAGAAATAAGATAAAAGTGAGCACATACTATATGATCCAATTTACATAAAATCCTAGAAATCTATAGTGGTTCTAGAAATAGGTTATAGGAAGGCAGTGCAAGATGGGTAGGATCAAAGGATCAACAAAAGAATCAAAAGAAAATTTTAGCGATAATTACTCAAATGTGGTGATGATTTTATCTGTTTATATATATTTGTCAAACCTATCAAATTGTGTACAATAAATACATGCAGCTTATTGTATATCAATTATACTCTGATAAGACTTAAATAAACCATTTGTTACTTCTGAAAGAGGAAAGTATAAATACTATGGGTCATTTTGAGCAAAGATAATCCTAATTTTAATAATCCAAAGCTTTTGAGCAAAAATAATCCAAAACTGGAGCACTTGTGTATCTTAGAAACACTTGTTTGTCTTCTTAAATACAAAGCAAAGCCTGAATCTCTCCTCTTCTTTTCTCATATAGTACAATATGTTCTCTTTTTTCAAATTATATATAGTTTTTTCCCTTTTTACTTCATCTAACAGTACTATAACTGAGTACTATAACTGCTCTAATAAATCACTGAGATGTTAACAGCTACAATTTAGCAGTGGTAACTGTTTCACCAAATGAAGAGGTTATGAAAAAGAAACATGTTTTTAATTAAACTGTGATTTGTGTCACAAATATTTCACTTTCAAATTCATTCTAAACAAAGTTAAAAAAAAAAAACCCTGGTCATAAAAATGGGAAATGTAGAGGCAGGCATATGCAAAGGAAAAAAAGGAAACAATTTCTCCCAAGTTCAAAAACACCTATGCACTGTATCTTTTTATTAGTATTATTCATTGCCACTCCAATGCCCCCTCGATCCTAAAATCTTATAGTCAATTGCCACTTTTTTTTGAGTTCACTCTATCAAGCACTCAGCAGAGGGGTAGAAGTGGGGATCAGCAACTATAAATACAGTCCTGTTTCTAACAGTAACTAAGCTATTAGATCTTGGGCAAGATACTACTCTCTCAGCTTCACCTTTGTCACAAACAACAGAAAACATCTCCAAGGATACTTTCAAGCCTGTAGTTCATTTCATATGCCAAGTCTAATCTGAAGTTATTTTTCATCAATTTTCTTGATCTCAAAATAACGTCATTGCTATCCCCTGGTCAAAGAAATCTCTCCTGCTAGCAAGATATCTTGGGCTAACCTATTGGTAAAGGAAAATTCAAGTACACAGCTTACCTTTGTGGGTGAGAAGGTTTTGGTAAGAGGACTAGACATCTGGAAAGACTCTAAATTGCCTATTCTTTCATGTATAAATATATACAATTCACCTCATGGTTTCAGAATAGATGTGAGCACACCTTATATGGCTTATCTACTCCAAGGTTTCGCAGAGCCATACTGAATATGCTAATGTCATGTTTCGTTAATTGATGTCATGTTTCATTAGAGTAACATAAATTTCAGTCTTTGGACTGTGGTTCATCAAAGGGTAGGCACCCAGATCTGGGAAGAAATAGGCCTCCTCTGGGACATAAACTTTCCTGGAGTATTGCTTTAATGAAGGATGGATATGTTTGGTGATATAATTAGTTGGTCAAGAAATGTCACTCCACCAAAACCAGTATCTACCAGTAGATGCTCCCTCCTGAGGATATTCTGTAACTGGGGAAAGAAAGGTCATTATACCAGACCTGGACTGAATGCAGCATTGTGCATTTCAGAAACTGGACATCTTGGAGGATGTCATCTCTGATCCCTTGCTCTGTTAAGGCAAAGAGCCAGTAGATGATAATACACACCGTCCTACTATCAAGGAGTCACAAATTGTGAAGAGAGTACAACCTGTTCTGTTTTTTGGGTTTATGAGCGCTTTTCATATCAGCTGAGCATGCTTACCTGGAAACTAGTAAAGACAGGGATTGGAGAACTATTTTTTTACAAGATATGATTATAAATTCCCAGCACATAGTAAACACTCAATATATTTTTGATATAAAGAATGGATGCCACAGTACTTACTTGCAAGTTTGATGAATAAGCACTAATATCACATTACTTTTCCTTTGTATGCTGAAATTTTTGAGAAGTAATTTTCAATGCACTAAAAATTAATCTTTTCCGGTTTACTTCTGTGATGTTTATATAAGCTGGAGTATGATTTCTTTTTAAGTCTGGCTTAGTGTTTACTTTGTCTTCTTTACTTTTCTCAATTAATTATTAAATAAGGTATTTTTTTTCTTAAAGGAAAAGCCTTATGAACTCTACAGTTACATTTCTCATGCTTATGTAATTATATTCCAGTATTTTTCAAAATGTTTATATCTCAGAAAACATAGCTGCTGACTAAGGTGATGGATTAATATACTAGTGTATTTCCTTCTAATCTTTTTACTATACACCAAAAGGCTATAATATTGTATATTAATACTTTTACCATAATTTTTATGCAAACATATCCCATTTTAACAGCTTTTTGAAACATCAGTTATAATAGTTTTTAATTTCCCATTATTTAATCATGTAATAATTACTTAATTTTTCTAGTTCAGAACATTTATAATGTTTCATCTTCTCTCTGCTCCAAATAAGAGAGGGATGAATATGTGAGCATAAAATGTTTTCTGTATTTCAAATTAACTCTTCAGAATAAATTATTATAAATAAATGTACTGAATTAAAGGTTATGAGAATTTTTAAAGTTTTTGACTTATGTTACTCACGTTTTTTCCTGAAGTAGTCATATGAATTTGAATGTACTTCAGTTCATTATCATCCCATGTAATCCTTTTTCTTGTAAGTGGCTGGATTTCTTGCTAGCAAATTGATGCTTCTTTTTCCTAAAATAAGTGACAAACCAGACTGCCGTTAGGAAAATAATTCTTTAAGGTTTCATTTCATAGAAAGATAATCACCATTTTTCAAATCTCTGGTTGAATGTGGCCAGGAGGAATTGAAGCAAAACCTTGCAAAAGCTCCCATCATTGTAATACACACTTATGGTTGCTTGACTAAATTCACTGCTTTTGTGAACTTACTGATTTAAACAATTCTTTATAAAGAAGAGATGTTGACTTAAAGATTATAACAAGAAACCTTGGTGCCCCTGTGGTTAATTGCATAAGAACATGTTCAAAAGCAATGATGCTCTTTATTTAGTTTACTCTAATGGATCT